ATATATATGCATACATGGATGTCTATATAAGTATCGTGCCCGTACATACTGTCTTAGTGAGAATAACTACACTTACACGCCGCATTCCCAGTGCTGAGTTCGGAATTGCTGCAATTGCTGATGCCAGATGAACGCGATGAAGCATGATCGGGTGCTCGGTCACGGCTAAGAGATCTACAGAACAAAAAAAGGTTTAGTCATAGCTATATACACTACCTTTAAGCTTACTCTCTCAACTGGCAGCCACACATACCCGTATGAGTACCCACCAGTAGCAACACACTTGTATGTAGCAATATACGTCCAGTGACATACACCTGCACGCATGCGTAGGCTAGTATATAGTCATGCAGTTGTTTTATACCGTATCTACGTTGATACGCAATATCAGATGAATATAGATAAATACTCTCATAAGATACCCCTAATGTGGCGCGTGAACACGACGCTACCACGAAAAGTCATATCGCCACAAGAAGAATAAGCGTACGAACGCTTTTCAGGTATTCACTTGCATCCAGTATACACCACACTACCCCTGCGGCAGCGCGTGCGGACATACTACACATATGTTTCAAGTAGTACACCCCACAAGGTCATACATACACACACAAACACATACCTACGCATAGATTCGCATACATTCACATACATACACATACATTCACATACATACACATTCATACACATACATCCACATACATCCACATACATACACACATACATCCACATACATACACATACAAACTCATACATACACATACATGCACATATATACACATACATACACATACATACACATACATACACATACATACACATACATACACATACATACACATACATACACATACATACACATACATGCACATACACATACATACCTCTGCACTGTTTAATACTCACAAAAATCACCATCGCATACCGTTGGTAATGCGACAGACTCCCCGAGGACGTATCCATAGTGGAACGTCGTCTATGTTTAACACTTCCACTACCATTACCCAAGCCGACACTGAAATCCTTCCCCAAAACTTCCATTAAGTTGCTATACTCGTTGCTCACTCCATCAGCACCATTCTGTGTGTGATTGAGAAAACATGTAGGCGAGTGGTACTTGATGTGTCACTCAATCTACAGCCTATATCCTATAGACCAAACTTTATAT